TGGAACTAGGGCAGGTAATTGGTGGAATTAGTATTTCGCTGATTTAGGATTCCAGTCCAGTCCAGGTCAATAAATAGATGAATCTGGTTTCCAAGGCCGCGCTGTGTCCGCCTCGGGGAATTATGAGTAACCAGAGATCCGTCTCCCAACCGCCTTTAAATTTCCCAGCTTCCTCCCTCTTGTCCATGTCCTTTATATCCATGCCTTTCTCTCTCTCTCTCTTTTACAGATGCCACCAGGTGCTGTTTTGCTAACAAGTGTGATTTTTATTTTTGAGACTCGCCTCGCCTCGTTGCTCGGTAACAATCTGCGGCACGCGGCAGTGGGAGAGCGACATGCCACGGCGGCCCGGAGTTGCCGGCGGCAGGCACACCGTCACCATGACGGCCCTCGGCAGAGCGCGAGCGGCACCTCGCCGCACATACATGCTAATTACTGCCACGGCCTGCTCTTTGAATTCACTCGTCTGCTTTAACGGGAAGGGACGGTCCCTTCTGAGTATGTGAACGCACTTCGCTGTGATTACACAGCTTTCAGTCATCGCAGGATTCTTCTAGGTTTTTTAAGACCAGGTAACGACAGCTGACAGGATGCGGTGTGACGAGGTCAGTGTAAAATCTGATAAAATTATTGATGGCAGAGTCACAAATGTGTCACGCGCCGCTTCATGCATAACAAGGGCTCAGCCACGCACTAAAGCTGGATTTACAAAGAATATGTAAAATATATAAAATTAATATTTCCAAGGAACAGCTTTTATACCCAACAGATGTGGAATCTTTGAGTAGCATGAATTTTTAAATCAATTGTTAATGCTATTTAATCATATAATAAACATAAATTCAAAGCTTAGCAATATTTTACTTTTATTCAGTCCAAGTATGAATATAAAAGTACATAAAAGTATATATATATAATTTCTTATGACATGGTACAGTCATGAAATATTTTAAAAATCTTTTATGAAAAACCTATTATTTTTTCAATATGTACTACTTTAAAGATAAATCCAGGTAAAGATATAAAAAAGTTGCTCATTTTAAATAAGTAATAATTTGAATAGAGGACAGATACTAAAATGTATCCCTCAGGAAAGAAAAACTATCAGTAATTTACAATAAAATTTTAGAATATTAATCTATATATATATATATATATATATATATATATATATATATATATATATATAGAGAGAGAGAGAGAGAGAGAGAGAGAGAGAGATTAATATTCTAATGCTAATAAGAGTTGTGTTAATTAGTGGTCAAGTAGATTTGTAGTGAATTTTATTTTCTTCATTCCTTCTGCTTCTCAGCACTGCAGCATTTTTTAACTGTAATAGTATAATTAAATTTTCATTAGTCTGCTTTTGATTTTAACTTGAATCTGCTGGTTAAGCCATTTGTATTCGCACTCTCTTCGGATTTTCTGATTACTTACTAATCTGAGCACTAAAATGTGTAAATCCTAAACTGAATGGTTTTTAACTCCAGGATTTTTAACAGCAGGATTTTATAAAACCTTTGCAAAATGTTATTTGTTCTTAAACTTATACAAATTCATATCGAAAGATGCAATAAACAACAGTTTCTGAAAAGCACCTTCTGAGGAATTTGGACAGTAGCCGCGACTCCTGAAATGTTTCTTAGCGCCTGGAGCTGCTGTGGCCTCCCCCTGCAGGCTCGGTAACGCGCTCCCGACATGAAGGGTAATTCCTGCCGTTAAGCTCACCGCTGGTAAATTGAGGAAGGTGTCGGGAACAGCAGAGACGCGCCGGTCAGGTAACCTGCAGCAGAGAGCGCCTGACATGCGATGATGAATTGCCGTTGAGATTAATCTGGCTTACTATTAACTTGTTAGGGTATAACCAAAAAATGGCATGACTTTTCAAATTAAGCCCGGGAGTATGGCGGTGAGAATCGGAGCCGCCTTCCCCGGGATACGGCCCGGGGGTGGCTCCATTGCCACCGTTCATCATGGGGGAGGCCCCTGACAGCGATCTCCCATCCAATTGGCTGTCCCCTTGGTTCCGTATCCGATCGCAATGCACCGAGTCATCTTCCATCAAAACCCCGCATTCGGTGATGTGCCCAGATGTGCCCCTTCGCCCGCCTATATTGGGCGCTGCTGAAGTGGCCACCCTCCTAGACGAATGGGGAGCACTGCCTGCGGATGACGCAGAAAACGGGCATGCAGGAAATAAAAATGACCTGCGCTTGCAGTGCAGCATTTTAAGTGGATTGATGCAGGAAATGCACACAGAGAGCGCTAAGCTGCATGCTAGCACACCGCTATATACTCAGTTCCAGGTCCCCAGTGTGTGTCTCTAACACCTTAAGGAAACTATCTATTAGAAAAAGGAAAAAAAAAAATCAAACAGAAGCTGAGCAAAGCCCTTAAGTTACGGCAGAGCCGCTCGCTGTCACTGAAGACGACAGACACTAACGTATTACCCTCTAATAATGCTGATGGAAAGATGTCAGCTTGTATTCCCATCCTGCCCCCACACTGCCCCCCCCCCCACACAGATAAATTAATCTGCACTCTAGTGGTTTCTGATTATGCACCGTTTTATGAAGAAGTGAGCGGGCGAGCGGCGGTGAGGGAGTGGCTTGGCGCCTCTTAGTGGCTGCGGGCGATCGCATCATCGCGGCTCTGCGTTTCATTGGCACTGATAAAAATGCGGCAAATTCTATGAGACGCGTCAAAACGGCTACATGAAAGCGGAGACGCGCCACTGAAAGGACTTTCATGGCATCTCGCTATAGGTGCGACGGCGGTGAGCGTGAAGAGGCGGTGTGCACACCCTTCATGTCGCCTGTGTGCGCTCACGCTAAATGCCGTTGTCATCCTCGCATCAAGCTGCTCTGCCTTCAGGGTCATGGTGTGTGTGGCGACTTTTGTCACCATGACGACCATATGGGCCGTGGGGTGGAGCAGAGCCCCGACGCCTCCCTCAGCACCATAGCCGAGCGGAGAGCGATGTGGTGAAGTGATCTTTCACTTGTTCTTTTATTTGATCTAGATAAACGACTAGCTAGCAGAGGAAGCAGCCAGGCCCCTAACCCAGAGGGGGCTGGATCGAAGCCGTCCCCCACTAAGGGGGCAGTGTGTGGCTCTGTGGGCCATCGGAAGGTCACTCTGTAATGATGGCTGAGCCTGTGCTCAGACCCCAAGCTTCACTCTCACCTGTATGTGTGTGAGTCTTAAAAAAAAGGACAGCATGATGGGATATGCAGAGAGAAGCATTCCGGAGTATCTGTACAAATGGCAAATAAAGCTGCATTTCAAGAATCATAATCTGAGTTAAACCATCCCAAAAATCTACTCTATTTTCATATATCCATCCATCCATCCATTTTCATGGCCACTTCTCCTGTGCAAGGTCACTATGTTTCTGGTCATGCGATGACAGCAGCAGGGTGGACTTACGTTCAGGCCATGTGGACTGTACAGAGAGTTCCCCCCGAGGCTGTCATTGTATCCTGCCGTCTGACTGATAACATGACGCAGGGTATCCACCTGGAAGGAGAGAGAAGCCCCGGTCAGCCCCGACAGGCCGCCCCCACGCCCACCACCATAGAACACCTCCTGGGACGCGACGTGGAGCACAAGCGATGAGAGACGAGACCACATGGGGACTGCTGGGATGGGAATGGAAGTCTCCACTTGGCCCCATGCACCCGGTGCACCTTCTACGTTCCCTAGCTCTGGACAGGGGTGGAGCCAAGCCGCCAGGGGCCAGGCCTGAGCCAAGCTCCTCCCCTTTAAGGCAGGCCTCAGGTATCCAGAGTCCGGGCCTGAGCCAGGCTCCTCCCCATTAAGGCAGACCTCAGGTAGCCAGAGTCCGGGCCTGAGCCAGGCTCCTCCCCTTTAAGGCAGGCCTCAGGTAGCCAGAGTCCGGGCCTGAGCCAGGCTCCTCCCCTTTAAGGCGGACCTCAGGCAGCCAGAGACTGGGCCTGAGCAAGGCTCCTCCCTTTTTTAGCATGGGACCCAGGCAGACAAACCTTTCTTAGGAAGCCTGTGATCCAGAAACACATAGTCCATTCCTCGACATTTCACAGACACTCAAACCGACAGACACACATACCGACACACATAGACCGGTGAAGGCACACAGACACACATAGACCGATGAAGGCACACAAACACAGGCACACACAGGTAGACAGCTAAACAAAGACATACATACAGACAAAGGTAGACAGGGAGATACAAGTAGACAGACAGACATAGCTATACATACAAATACAGGTAAATAGACAGATAGGTAAACAGACTGATAGACAAACACATAGAGACAGGCAGGCAGACAGATACAGGTGGACAGACTGGCAGACAGACAATAACTAGTTACCAATTTTTAACCCCATTCCAACAGTTAACCTGAACTGGGACTTTTTAAAACAGAAAATTAAGTTACTAAGAAAGGAACAATATCCCCTCAATATGACATTTTATTGTCTTTTGTAAAATAAGTGCCCACAAAGACAGCAGAAATTACATAGACACACTGACAAACTCACAGACCAACAAATTCACACACACGCACACACACACACTGACAAACTCTCTCCCACACACACACACCGACAAACTCACAGACTGACAAACTCACACACACACCGACAAACTCACAGTCCGACAAACTCACACACACAAACACCAATACACACACCAGCACACACACACACCGATAAACTCTCTCCCACACACACACACCGCCAAACTCACACACACACACACACACACGGACAAACTCTTTCCCACACACACACCGACAAACTCACACACGCACCGACAAACTCACACACACACAAACACCAATACACATACCAGCACACACATACAGCGACAAACTCACATACATATATGTACTGACACACGCACACAGACACACTCCGACACACGCATACGGACACACGCACACACCAACACACGCATACGGACACCCGCACACACCGACACATGCACACACCAATACACGCACACGGACACACTGACATATGCACAAACGCCGGACACTTCCCTACATGGGGTCATAGCTTAACAGTCATTCACACTGAATAACCAGGCACAGGCACATACATGTGCACAGACATGTATAAACATGTCATTATATATACATGCAGGGGTGGGCGCATACAAAAACACACATGGTTACACATTCACGCAGAAACACACAAATGGCCGCACACACACGCAGACATGATGATGCGAGAGGGGTGGGAACAGCGGCATGATGTGAGGAAAGGCCACACGCATGACGGCCGATGATGGGCATGTCACATGGAGGATGCTGGGCCGGTCCCCGGGAAAACCCCCACGAGCATTTCCGCCAGCTACCTCCAGGGGGCCTAACTGAGCTCATTTTTACATTGTGCCATCTTTGTTTGGTTTTTACTAATTTGCCCCCCCCCCCATCCCACTTAAAAATATTACATTTCCAATCTGCCCGTCACTGGGCGCTCCCTCTGAATCGGAGCGGACTGTGAAATGGAGGAGGAGGAACAACAGCGAAGAGGGAAACACGACCCGGATGGATAAAGAGAGAGGGGGAGGGGCAGGAGGATGGCCCAGAGAGTTTGGGGAAACACCGCACACCCGATTCCAACCCGAGAGCTCAAGTCAGAGCCAGACGCTATCACAGCATAGTCACCTCAATGGAGTCTGAACCAACACTGCAGAAGTAAGATGCTAGCACTCACAAACTTTTTTATTCTCTGCTTCCTCCAATGAAGAGTTTTCATGCCGAACTGGACACATTTTCACTGCTTTACAGTGATTTTTAAAGTTTAAAGTTTTAAGTCTTAAAACGGGCCGAGGCAATTTGGGGTGGACCAGATTTGGACTATCTGTCGTAGCCAATGAGAGTCTTCAACAGCGGACTGGCATGATAAGCGGCCAATGGTCCGCGTTCTGAGGCGGGGCTATTCCCGGACGTGGACGGCCCCCGGGGTTTGCTCTTTGCTCCGGACTGCATTGTCAATGGCTCAGCAATGGCAAGGCTTGGGGGGGGGTCTCCGTCCGTGTCTCCTACCTGTGACTGCACATTGGCGCCAACTTGTGCCCCCTGGTAAGAATCCCCATTCAGATTCTGCATGCTCATGAACATGTCCCCCGAGTTCGGCAGGTTAAATGAACCCGAAGAACCTGCAAGGGAAAGATGCAGGGGGCTGAATAACGACAGAAGGCAGAGACAGACAGGACAGAGGCGCAGTGCGGCGCGGACCAGCGGTGGCAGGCGCCCACAAGGGCGACGACAAACAGAGAGAACACTGGAGAGAGAAGGAAAGCACCATGGGAACATCCCAACAGAGATTACACAGGTCCTCCACAAAGAAAGGAACAGGAACCAACACAACGCAAATCACATGACAGGCACAGAGATCCGACACGGCCTCAAGGCTCAAGCTGTGAAGTGTTTCACACCACCACCAATCCCATATCTAACGTCAGAGGCTGTGGGGTGGGGGGGTGGGGGTATCGTATGCCAATGACACGGACATTAAGAAGCTTATTAAAAGTCCAGTACCAGTGAACATGTTGGTTAAAAGAGTGTTTTTGCTCTCTGCGGAGTCCAGCTGAAATTCTTCATCTTTCATCTGGAATCCTGGGCACAAGAGAAGGGGGAGCACTTCAAAGAGCCGGACAGGTCGCCTGTACCGACACGCCGCGTCCATCGGTGCCACGCACACATCCTCCCGCCCATCCCACACACCACTAGCCTGGGCTCTGTCCTGCTGGCTGGGCTCGAACGAGGGGGAGTTTACCGTGAGGGTCAGATGGGGCAGGAGGGAGGGGTTTCAGGAGAGAGGCTGCTTGCTTTCACTTTGTGATTTTCCTTCTCTCTGCTCTTTGGCCCACAAGCACTAAATGTGAGCTTATCCATGTTGGGGGGGCATGGATATCTATTCTCTCTGAGAACTTTTACTTGTGTGGTGCATGATGTGGGTGGGGGGGCGACAAGGCTGCTGGAATGTAGGGAGCTCCATCAGGGAGTGTCATTTTTTTGGGGGGGGGAGTGGGAGGCGGGGCTAGCATGTGGAACGGGAAGGCCCAGCCTACCGGAGTTGGGCGTGGTGGGCGAGTTGGTCTGGTTGTTCTGCACAGCGGCGGCCACGGCGTGCGCGGCCGTCACAGCCGTCTTGGCGGCATACAGGTTGGCCTCCTCCTGGAACTTGCCGATGTTCTTCTTGTACCGGATCCGCTTGTTGCCAAACCAGTTGGATACCTGGGGGACAGTATGGGAGAATGGGGGAGGGGCGTCAGACGTCAAGCCAGCGGATGTGCCGAGCAGCTCGACTGCCTCCGAATGTCAGGTTAGGGCCTGTCAAGCCGACAGTCCCAGGCCACACCGCGCGATCCACCAGGCCGCGCCGCACGATACACCAGGCCGCGCCGCATCATACACCGGGTATGCCGCTAATTAAGCCATAATCAGGAATCACCAATGCAGCGCTACAGGCTCTGGGGCCGCTGTGTAGCCGGTACCCCGGGGGGGTGCTCATGTGCGACAACATGCCCCCGCCCCTCAAGTTTGCCTGCCACCTGTGACGCGGCTCGTGTCACTCAGCTAAGTGGCTTCTGTATCTCTCTGAGGAACCCGCTAGTCTCCGATGCTAAAGGCCGCGCATTCGGGGTTGTGTGAGTAAGCAGAGTGGGTGGGCTACACTCCGGACTGCTCCGTGCTGACACGTGTGTGGCCGCGTGTCCGTTATCTGCCGTAACCATGTTTGCTACTCATTTACACTTCGGCTGTGAGGGCCCTGGGAATCACGCTTCCACTTTGACTGATAAACGTGCATGTTTGTCAGTGTTCCGAGTTTCATTGGTTTTATGTGATCAAAGTGTGTCAGAATGGCCAATCAACTGTGTGTAACACGTTTAATAACTGAATAGTCGATGATGGGATCAGCAATAACAGGGATAACAGCTATACACTCTTACCTTTATTTTCAAATAAATATTTATAATAAAAATCAATCATTTTGTTACCATTTTAAAATACATAGCTGTTTCACAATCTCAAATTCTAATCTACATTGATTTTAGATCTCTTTGCTCTCTGTATTAAATGCATCCTATTCAAAGTATTAAACAAAACAGTTACACCCTGTTAAAAATCTATTACAGATAGAACAATGCGTGCATGTTACAGCCCACACCTGAATATTTCATTTATGTAGTCATTAGTGGAGAAAAAATAGAATAAAAACAAATATATAATCGGTTGTTACAAATGAACATTTACGTTTCTGTGGAATGCGTGAAATAATCTGAAAAATCGCACTTACATTAGCACTGCAGTGTGTCGCACAGTATTTCGCTAATTATTCTGCTTTTAATTGCTTCCTCGCCTGCGTTTTGACAGCCGTCTCTCCCCCAGCCTCCTTTCTCTTAACGCAGCTTCATTTAACTCCTGTCCCCGTGTGCACGTTTTAATGCGCGCGGCGCCCGACGCGAGCCCGTTCGCGCGCCGTCCAATCATTTCCACCCCGCGAGCCTCCGCACTTCTAAATCTTTAATATCTATGCAATTAAAATTAATGACCATTCGGGCAAAGCTGGCGCTGCCGGTGTATCCTTGACATCGGTTGCATGATGGGTTTACCTAGAGGTTAAACTAACAAGTGGAGTTTAATTGGACACAATGAGCAGCCCAGCGAACATCCTTTTTACTTAGCCGGCAAAGAGCAGCTTTTCGCAGCATAATTTGGCACAAAGCCCCCCTCTGAACGGCGAACGCAAACGTGCGGGAGCAGACGCCTGCTTTCCCCCCTCTATCGCACACCAAACCTGGAGCGGCGAGAGTGACCAGCTGACCCTTTATGAAGAAGTTCAGAAAAATCCACGAACGACAGAAATAACGGCTCCGTGAAGGGAGCCGGATCTTACGGCTCCAATCATTTTAGGGGGCGAGGGTGACTAGGTTTATTTGCGAAATAATCACTAAGATAACGATAGGGTAAGATCTGGATCAGATTCAGACTTAGACATCCCACTTTTATTTCATTTCGCACGTGTGGACTGGGGTTAGCGGCACTAAATTAATCGTACTGCCAGACTTAATGTCAAGGATCTGCACCGTAACCATTATACAAGGTGACGCCATTTCCATCTGCTGTGTCAGGGAGTTTACTCCTTTGATTTTAGCCGCTGTATGAAATGGGTTACGTAAATAAAGTTCCTTTGCCGTGAAAGCAATTTATGCACCTCTTCATATTATAAAAAACTTTATTGTCACAAATCCCGCTCATTCTGTTTTTAAGGCTGGTTGGTTCTCACTGTTCACGTAAAGGGGAGTGGAGTGGATTTAGGGCAGGCAGTGAAATTTGGGCACAACGATAAAAAGGACGGCTCAAGAGTACAACTTAGTTCCCTTTGTTCGTACCAAAGATGCCCTGAAAAGAACTGGATTATTCATGAAGCAGCACCGTCAGTAACCTGCGCGTCAGTAACCTGCGCGAGGCCGTGACGGAGACAATAAGCCCTCACACAGAACTCTGAGGTAAATGAGTGTGACAGCGATGTGCATGTCCCCGACAGACCTGTTAACTCAGGGCACGGAGATAATTAATGCACAGCGACCCGTTAATCAGATCACAGAACAGAGATAATATTACAGAAATACAGACTTGGACAGTTATTTCTTAAAAGTGGTATGGGTAAGTTCAACTCCCTCAGGGCCAAGACCAGGAGAACATTATAACCATAGTATATGACAGCTTCTTACCTAAACAAGACAAAGAATGAACCACCATTTTCTTTAAAATACCAGTGCGTGACAAGCTAAAAAATGTTGCCATGTGGATACTATAAATATCATAAACTACCACCTCAAAATGATGAAGCATCATCGATACATTTTCCCAAACTGCGTATCCAGTGCAAGATTGCAGTGCACACACTACAAGTAACTCAGTGACACCAATACTCTAAAGCAGATGATTTTTGGCAGTGAGGAGAAACCAGGGAACCTGAAAAGAACCTACATGATACAGGGAGAAGATACAAACTCCACAAGAGCAGAGCGGGCAGGGATTCAGCCTTTTGTGCCTGGAGGTATGAGGCATCACAGCTACCCACGGAGCCCCTCTTGAAGCAATAAGGTGAGACCATTTTTCAAAGAGTGCCATGGTCCTTTCTATAAACGGCTGAGCAGATCATATGCAGAAGAAAAACAGCGGAAAGCGATGCCACTGACAGGCGTTTGCTTGGAAGCTTTTCCCAGGCTGACAGGCAGTAAGTCTTCAAGAGAATGCGTCCGTCTACTCTGCTGCTACGTCATATTGCAAGTCATGGTGGTGCAGTAGTGGTTAACCTCTAAGGCTGGGGTTCGAGTCTCCATCATGGCTCCATGTGTGTGGTTATTTGCATGTTCTCCCCATGTCGTTGTGGGGTTTCCTCTGGGTCCAAATCCCCCCCATCCCCAGTCCAAGTGAATGGGAGTTGTGAAATTGTCCATAGGTGTGAATGGTTTGTGTGTGCCTTGTGATGGGCTGGCATGCAATCCTGGGTTATCCCCTGCCTTGTGCCTGTAGCTTTGAGGATAGGCTTCAAACTCTGCAACCCAGGACAGGAGAAACAGGTACAGTAAGTGGATGGATGGTGAGCCACCAGTCCCGAAGGCAACATCATCCCTGGCTGTGCCTCCAATGGTGCGTGCTAACATCAGAACACTTGGCTACGGGAAGAAAACTCAACCGGGTTCCCCGTGCGTTATCATGGAAGACTGGGCTGGCGATGCGTCACCTCTTAAAGATCTCGCCCCCATGTCTGCTCCCTGACTGGAAAAGGCCGTGGAACCACACTCAGTAATGCACCGCCATTTCTGTCTCATCATGGGTCAATAATTCTCTCATCATTTAAGGAGAATGGATGTTCCTTCCACCATCTAAATAGCGCTGGAGAATAATTCCATCTTTGGGGACCACCTTAATGAAAGCTCAAGCCTTATTTCTTAATTAGAGAGGGTAAAAATAAGGTGGTTCCAGTGTTGTGGCTTCTAATTCTGTCAATAATGGAGTGGAATTCATTAATCCTTTACATGTTAACCTTAGGCATTGTCCCTCTGAAAGTGCAACAAGTTAAAATATCGATAAGTGCCGTTCATTATAAACACACATACCCGGAGAGCGAGAAGCACATCTGATTGAGAGTCCCTCCTGAGAATTGAGGCCTTGTGTCAGTTAATAATTGTAAGCATAACCCTGCCCTCAGACCAAGTCAGTCATTCATGCTGCTTAAAGTGTGTGAGTAACATAAGCCAAGCAGAGGTGTGAAACCTGACTTATTTTTTAAAAAAAACTGTCCCACAAAGTCTGGCATCTTTGTAAAGGGAAGCATTAACTGTGACAGAAGCTCCGCTTGTTGGGGTCACATTGGGAAGCTGTCTATGACAATCTGAAACCCACCTCCTCCCCCATCACCCAATGAATAAGCATTTCATCCATTTCTCAAGTGCTCATCTTCACCTGGCGGTTGGAATACTATGTAGCCAAACGTATTTGGATACCAGCTTGTCGGACATCTCATGCTAAAACCTGGGGCACTGATATGAAGTTGGTCTACTCCTTGTTGCTACAGTATAGTAGACTCTATTCTTCTGGGAAGGAATTCCATTAGATGTTGGAACATTGCTGGTGGGATTTGCTGCCATGGTCTCTTCCTGTGAGTGTGTGTCTGACCATTTCGCCAGCAAACTCCCACACAGCTCCACATCACGATCCTTTCATATGCAGCTGACCAAGACAACTCAATCAAGGCAGAAATTCAACAAACTTGACTTGCTAGAAAGCTGCCATGCAATGATGGTGCCAAGTTGAAGGTCACTAACTTTTTCGGTGCGACCATCCTTTCTGCTGTTAGTGTTTGTTGCTGGAGACTGTACAGTAGTTTGACACCTGTGTCAGCAATGGGTGTGGTTTAATTAACCAACTCCTCTAAGCAATTAGGGTGTGCACATACTCCAAGCCAGACATTGTATTCTTACTGCGTACATTCCCCTTATCCTCTTAAACTAAACAAACATAGATTTAACTGAAGGATAATATATTCCATGTGTATTGCACAAAAGCATTGCAGTGTCGGATTGGATTCTTCTCTATCCAATTCTTTACAGATGAAGAAGAACTTTGACTCTTGGACAGCAAAGAGCGGACTAGTTAGTGGCCAGCACCATAACGGTCTACTGGCGACTCCAGCCATTAGGAAACGGTGTCCCCAACACCTCAACATTACCCAAGAGTCCAGCCATCCACTGACATGCCACACACTATCTCCTCCATCTCCAGTAGGTGTGTGACCGTAATTATTAACTCAGCCCTACTGAGCCAATTCTGCTTCCATCCCATTCTCCGGTCCCAGAGCCCAGCTGTGGCCTTTCTCAAAATCAATTATTCTGACGGGAAAATTAAGACTGGGGCCCCGATTCGATCCCGCTGACACAGTGAAAAGCCTCAACTTCAACTAACGAGTTTTACCAGCACGTCGACTGGCCGTCTCTCTCTTGTCATACTGGGAATGAGACGAGCCCAGTGCAGAGACAAAGTGACATGGTCCGAGTTTGGCGTTCAAACTGAACCAGGACCGGAATCTGCTCTGCAGCTGGAGATACCTGATGAGTGTTTGCAGTAGGAAGCTCTGCTGACGTATGTCTGCAGGCGTGATGATATCAGGCAGGATGCTGCTTTTGGGCGGGGACTCAGGTTGTCCTGCTTCAGGGATTCTGGGTGCAGAGGTACCTGGAGATACATGGCTACTCACAAGAGCCCATTTCTACGTTTGCTCTCACGTGCTGGACAGATTACGGCAGAAAACGAGCAGCAAGCATCACAGCTGGCTATGTAAACCCAAGAGGACTGGTAGTTGTACCTTTGAGGGAGGTGCTCTGTATTTAATCACTTTAGGAAAAAGATCAAACTGTAATCAGTACTAAATGCTTTAAGCCTACAATGTATGCTTAACAATGATATTAATTACTTAATGCAACCTCCTTATCCTGGCCCAGAAGACGTCTCTGCCAATGAAGCCAATGGACTTCCCCAGATTTCATCTGTAATTGGTTGGACACATGACGTCATAGATCTGGTACTGGAGGCTCAATTCAGGCCAAAACACACGAATCCAGTGGCTCTGTTGCTCAGACTGCCCGTGGATGGATATCGACGCACTTAATGTAGGCTGTCGCACAAGCCACACCCCCTGGGCATGCCGTAGACCGTGGAATCGTAACAGAGGGCTTGTTAGACCAAACAGGCACAGGTGCTCCTTCTTATGCGCCGTCTAACCAGCTCTCAGGAAGCACGAGGGAAGGAAAAATGAGGCGCCACTGGAGATTTGGTTGGTGTGTTCTCCTCCGCTTGTATCTGATGTGAATTTTTTGATTTGTTTACAGAAATGGCTGGTAACCCCCCTGCTCCCCCCGTTTGCCACATGTGTCACTTCTAGCTTTGATCCCCCCCCCCTCTCAAGTGTGACACAGATGCATATTAATGTAATTCTCCTATTATTACACCAAAATGCTGATCCACACTGGGGGGTCACAGTGCTAAGGAACAGGGCTTGATCTCCTGCTGGAGTCATCCACGCCCTAAGAGGGGGGCGTCATGTCCACCATAATCCCCCCCTCCGCCCCTCCATCACCAGAAATAAATTTAGCTTGTCTCGTCACACTGTCTACAGGGCCCTTGTTACAGAGCTTCAGGTGGGGGTGGGGGTGGGGGTGGGGGGGCAAGCCTCTTAATTGTCTATTTACTCTTAAATGGTGGTTCTGGTTTACCAGGAACCCAAACGGCCAGGGGCTTAGCTGGGGGGTGAAAAAAATCCTACAGAACCAAAGGAGGGTCCATGTTACAGCCTGCGGTTCGAGGATTTCAAAGCCAGCCTATCAGATGAGATATTCATCCTGAGGACATTGTACGCGGACAGCACCATCTCGAGGGTACCACAGTGAGCTCACACCTCCCGGCCTGGGGCGTTAAATGCTGCCTCCATCCTCTGTGAGGAGTTTGCGAGTTCCCCCCAGGTCATGCGGGATCCTCCGGGAGTGCCTAAGCTAACGGACCTCTCTAAGCTGTGTGTGTGCCCTGTTCTGAACTGGCATCCCATCCTGGGTGTACCCCCGCCTTGTGCCTTATGCTGCCTGGGATAGGGTCTAGACACTGCCCCCCCCCTCACAAACCCCACTACCCATACCCACCCTCCCCTGACCATTGTAAGTGGTTAAAAATGGATGGATGGATGAATTTGTGGATTTTTGGGAATAAACAACTAATCCAACTTAGCAGGTAGATGCAGGTATATCTGTCCTCCCATCTCATGATAACATCGAAATAATGCTGCAGAAAATACCTCCTAACTGACATGACTCTTTCCTTCCTTTAGCATTTTCTGCTACACCCAAGCAAACACACATGGTGACTCCTTTTGGACCCCCTCCCGAGTCGTCCACGGTGACTCCATGCACGGCTGGCCCCC